AAAAAAAAAAAAAAAAAAAAAAGGAATGGGAAATATTTCTCTACTATCATGGGATGAACTTCAGGTTAAAAAAACAAACAAAAACCAAGGTAGACGAAAGTATGTGTCCTGGGGTGCCATTTATCTAAGAACAGAAACATGAATCCAAATACTGATTTAGAAGTTCGCCTCTGAGAGGAGGGACTGAATAGGATAGAAACCAGACTTTTAGTACTTTGTCTTTAAACTTGAGTTTTGGACCATATACATATTTTTGCATACCTAGGAAATTAAATTTCAGAAAAGCAATCTTTAAAAATTAAAAATCAAAGGGAGAAAATGAACCCAACCACATACATAGTTGTTGGCTTCAGCCATACAGAGATTAACAGTCCTAACCAATCTAAAGCATGATAATTTTACTTCTGAAATCCCCATTGAAATATACCTCAAGGACACACACACAAAAAAAAATCCTGAAAAAAACAAGTTTGAACCAGTTTCTAGTAATCGCATTGTTGGGATGGTGTTAGCATAGCTATTCTGAGAATGCTGTGCATTAATGTAAGAGACAGCAAAGGAGTAACTACATGATATTCTAAATATATCATCTGCCATTTCCTGATGCTCAGCATGGAAGGGAGAAGATATAGATGTACTTCTGCATCGGGAAAAGCTTGAAAGCAATGACAACGCAGAGAAATGAACACCACTAAGTATTTGGTCATCGTCACATAAGCCTCTTTCGAGTCTACTAAATGGAACTAGCATTTCTTGTGAAACAGATAAGTCGAGGTCTGGGAAATTTCATCTAGGGTCCCACTGAATCCATATGAATTCATAAGACTCTCTCTTTCACAAAACAAAAATATTAATTGGTTCCTAGGGAAAGATGCTAAAAAACAAAAACAAAAATAAAAACTGGTATATAAAAGAAAATGAGCCATTCTGCCAAAGTTTTTCTTAAGAAGAAATATCTAAATTTAGAAATGAAAAACAGAAAGAAATATTAGAACATCATCATTTGACAACCATTAATAAACTAAGGGATCCGTATATTGACTGGGAACTCATTTCACACACACGCAAAAAAAACCCAATTACTAGGAATCTCCCGACAGAGAACACACGATCACATATCTAAAATAGTCTTGACTGAAAAAGACTAAATCTAAATCTTATAAAGTCAAGCAAAGGTTTCCAGTGTATGCGAGAGAAAGAAGTGGAGGGGAAGATTAAGAGTCTTAAAAGACACATCAACCAACTCCCATCAACATATAAACCTACTTGCATCTTGATTCAAACAAACTGTACAAGAAAATCGTAAAATTTACAATACAACTTGAAATTTGAATACTGACTAGATACTTGAAATTAAACATTTTCAGCACTTTTAGGTACAATAGGGGCAATAGGGATATGTTGTCTAAATCCCCTCTACCTTTCGGAAATACAAATATTTATAGATGATGAAATGTAATGCAAGGAGATGTTTCAAAATCATACAGAATAGGATGATTCTGGATAGGGGCAGGGATGGGTGAGGGTGGCCATGGGTTAATGCATGTTAGCACTGGATGGTGAGTACTTGGGGGTTCATTGTACTATTCCTTTTTAACTTTTGCATGTGTGAAATTCTACATAACAATATGTATTTTATATATAAGACACTCAGTAACCATGAGAATACTCAGTACACAGAGCTTGGTTTCTAAATACAATTTGCTGCTAGAAGAAACCAGAGCTCATTGAAGACATGGATACTCTGAAGTCTGAACAGAGAAAATTACAAAGAGCGCCTGGGACATCTTGTGCTAGGAAGCAAAGTAGCAACTGTTATGGAAGATTCTCAGTCAATAGTTAGAGAAGGAATAATAGAATTGAAAAGAACACCATTTCTCAAACACCAATTTAATTATTGTTTCAAGCAAGGGTACACATGGGTGGTGAAACCACTGGGCAATAGGTTATTCTTGACGACAAGATACTCATTCAGTCTCAAGGATCACACATGAGTATTAATTTCAATAGAAAGGACATCTTTACAATGAAGAGAGCTAGTGAACATCTCTTGTTGGCCAAGTTGATAATCAAACTTCTATTATCAAGACAGAGACCATCTGACACCACACATTTCTTCTGAAGATGCAATCAATGGCATCAGCATTGTCTGTGCAATGGTTTGGCCAAAGATGTTTCACTTGAGTCCAATCATGAGGAAGCAATCAGACAAATCAGGAAACTGATTTGGACTCTTCAAAAATATTAAAGAAAAAGAAAAAGAATAAGGACTAATTTAGATTCAAGGAATCCAAAAGTACATGGCAACAGATACAAAATATGACCCTTGTTTAAAACCCAATATTCATTCAAACCAAACGGCCGTGGAGAAGGGAGAGGCCATAAGGGACATTATTATGACAATTGAAAGAATCTTAACATGATGATATGTTAAATATAATTAGCATTGTAGTTTCAATTTCTTATATATTTTAACTATGTTTTGTTCTTGTATATCTTTGTTAAACTCAAAGAAAAGCAAGTGCCTATGTGCTAGAACGTACTTACAGACAGTACAAAGGGAGAAAGGAATGTTGATAATGGCTGAGGCAATCTATGAAGGCTGCAGTCTTTCAACTCTTCTGTGAGTTCTACATTTTCAAAATAAAAAGCTGATTAAAGATACAAATATTCTTAGTTGAGTGTGGTGGCTCATGCCTATAATACCAGTGCTTCAAAAGGCTGAGTTAGGAGCACCAATAGAAGCCAGGAGTTTGAGACCAGGCTGGAGAGACCTGTCTCTCCCGAATAATTTTTAAGTTAGTCAGGCATGGTGGCACATACCAATGTGAGTCCCAGTTACTAGGAAGGGTGAGACAAGAGGATCATTTGAGCCCAGGAGTTGGAGTAATAGGGAAAAAAAGGATATATATACATACACATGATAGGTATCTACACACACACCCACACAGATATCTATATACACACACACATAGATAGATATCTACATATACACACACATAGATAAATATATGTGTGTACCTATGTCCTTTTTCTTTTTTTTCTGTTGAGACACATGCTGGCTCTGTTGCCCCACACTAAAATGCCGTGGCATCACAACTCATAGCAATCTCAAACTCCTAGGCTCAAGGGATGGATCCTCTTGCCTCAGCCTCCTGAGTAGCTGGGACTACAGGTGCCCACGACAATACCTGGCTAGTTTTGCTATTTTTAGTAGAGACAGGTCTTGCTCAGGCTGGTCTCAAACTCCTGAGCTCAGGTGATCCACTTGCCTGGGCCTCCCAGAGTGCTAGGATTACAGGTGTGAGCCACCATACTCAGTGTCTTCCTCTCTCCCTCTTTCTATACATGTCTATCGAGTTTTTCTTATGTTAGTAACATGTGAACAGTGTTTTACATACAGGTAACTGTGCATTGTCGTCTATGCTCTTCTGGGTCTTCTCCTTGGCACTCTCTTTCTGACCGACTGCTTGCTCAGCAAATGATACCTCCAGGTTGATGTCTGTTTCAGAGGCAGGAGCATCTTCAGGTAGGAAGAGCTTTTCTTCCCCAATGACGAGGTTGGAGGCTTGTTCTGCGAATGGAGTAGGGAAGACCCAATTCATAGGCTTTATTTTTTTTTTAATTTTTATATTTTTTTACTTCTAATACATTACATAAAGACTTTTGGGAAGAGTACTTATGTTCTGCAGACAATAAGTAATCGTTAACTCTAATAATAAAGAGTACACACAAGAAGCCTGTCAACGGCGCATGGGAAGGAGGTGAGGAGATGTTAGTTAGTGACCAGCAATCCTCAGTTCCGCTACGGAATCTTTCTTTGAGATGAGAATTCTTGGCTAGAATCAGTCCAATTCCAAAACGTGGTTGGAAGACATTACTCTTAAAGGGAAACCTCACAGAAGTTTAAAAGACTTAATTGTTGTACACTATTCTGAGGAATTAAAAGCAGCATAAAAAAAAAAGAGGGAGGTGATTAGTTATAATCTCTTGCAGCTAGTAATATACCATTTAATTTGCTCAGGGTAAATCAAATTCCCAGAATAAGCCTCTTTCATACCTTGAATTTCCTTTTGTTCTGGAGCATTACCTACCTATCATGCTAAAAATTTCAAAACAGGAGTTCCTGCCAAAGACTTATCACTATGAGAATGATATGGGAGTCAGGCCTGGAGGTACCTGGTACAAGGACTATTAGGTTTGCCCCTGAGTATATCAAACAGTATAAAAGTTCCCACCACTATAAACAGGGGTGAAATAATTTTCAGATGTTTACATTAAAATTTCAAGGATATAACAAGTTTAATCTTTTTTCCCCCCCTTTGACTCTTCTGGTTTATTTAACCCTTCAAGAAGGAATTAAAATCCCAAACCTCTTTGCTAAAGACACCAGCTTTAAGCTTTGGAGAAAATACTTCTAAATTTGACTATTTTGCAAAATTTGGGTTTTCATGAAATTCACATTAGGGAAAAAACTCTAGAACCAAAAGCCAGGATTACTGATATTTTTCTCATTGTAGACCTTTGATTCACAGTAAGAAACTCTGAAATTACACAATAAATTTACACAGTGTGTCACATGCTTACATCTTAACATGCTCACATATGAATGTGACAAAGTGATGGGAGGTAAAGTTAATAAAAATGTAACAAACATGTGACATTCAAAAGTACACATGTATATTATTAAAAGTCTGCTATTCAGCGCCCACTGCATGGGCACAATTAGTGGGGTACGGCACACTGTTAGGGTACAGGACATAGCTACAGGACGGATGCTACCCAATTCAAATATTGTGGCTTGGTTATTTGTACGCTCACATTAACCTGAAATTTAAAAGAAAAAGAAAAGAAAAAATGCATGAGCTTTAAGAAAATACCATTTTTAAACTCTCATTTAAAATAAAATCAAAATAAACCAGTTAAAATAAAGGAAAATTAAGCAGTAACTATGAATCTAGTCTTATTCACTCCCACTAAATACACAAGGGGGTCTCCTTGGGCAAGTGACCTATGCAGCCACACGGGGCTCCAAGCTGAGAGGAGTTCTGCACTGGCCTTAAGGCCCCTCTGTCACCATCTTAACATATGCACAAGAGGCCCTGAACCTTTGGATCTCTGTAAATTATATACCTGGTCCTGGTAGCATCTTACGGTTAAGAAAGTAAGCATGCATTTACCCATGCCAATTCCAAAACTGAAAATAAACCTGAAGTTCCGTGGTATTATTAGTGTTGATTGGCTGCCGTCTTTGGTATATTTAGCTTTCCAACAGTCTATGACCTTTTTTTTTTAATTGGCATACCTATACATTTTAAGATTAATTTTTTAAGATATCAACATAAATGTCAAAGCACGATATACATTTTATTTTCCCACTGGTTTATACTCTTCTGTGTTTTACTGTGACTAGCTAGGTATGTTGGTTTCCTAGGAAACCATTCTAGGAGGAAAAAAATGATTAGCCGTTTTCTTAAATTAGAAGCTACCTTTCCAGAAACTATTTGTGGACAAGCATTAAAAAACTACTTTCTCTTTTCAACGCTTCTGTGACAGAGCTAAAATAAATACCACCCCCCACACAGACCCAGACAAATAGACTATGCTAAATTTAAAACGGAGTAATTAATAGTTGAGTTAGAACAGCCAAGCAAGGTGACTCATGCCTATAATCCCAGCACTTTGGGAGGCTGAGGCAGGAGGATTGCTTGAAGCCAGGAGTCTGAGACCAGCCTGGGCAACCCAAGACCCTGTCTCTACAAAAATCATTTTTAAAAACTTGGCCAGGCTTGGTGAGACATGCGTGTAGTCTTAACTTTGAAGAGGGAGGACAGCCTGAACCCAGGAGTTGGAGGTTATAGTAAGCTATGATCATGCCACTGCAGTCTAGCCTAGACACCAAGACCCTATCCAAAAAAAAAAAAAAAAATTAAGACATATGAATTTTCTCCAAAATCATGGCAAAAAATTAAAAATACAGTACATAAAACTCCAAATAGAAAAATCAAGTTGAGGCTGATAGCAGAAAAAGCAGTTTGAGAAGTACTGAGGGATGATTAGTTAACTAATAAAAGTGATAAATACTCTCAAGAAGAAAAGTTAACAGAGAATATTGAATTTAAACCTTTTTGGCTCTTAAAGTCCTAAAGTGTAAACAATATAATTTCTTTCATCTATCTTCCTTTGGGTTTGAAGTGCCCTGCAGCCCTACACTTCAGGGTATTTTACAAATCTCCCTGAATTCTTTCATTGTCCAAAATATCCCCAAATGCCTGTATTTCAAAAAATATTTATTTTTCCTTCATCCATGGAAATCCAAAAGAGAATTATAAAGTATACATATTCAATATGAAAGCTTAAAAAATTAATCAGGCATTATTATTTTAAAATATGTAAACAGTGGGCCTTTCATAAAGCTGCATGACTTGTGAGACGTTAAGATTGATAGTTAGCAGTGGATTAATTTGAAATGTGACAATGCTTGCAACCGTAAAGCTTTACAGCTTTTTCATTTAAAGTAAGTATAGTTGATTGAACAGGTTTCAAAACTCAAGTGTGGGGAAAACATTTGAAAGAGACTATGTCACCAAGCCTTTGAATTTTCATCGCAAACCACCCCACTTTTGAACCCCAGACAATGTTTCCATGCATTTCATTCTGAACTTTCCAATGTTTGCATAACACTGGTTAATTCGCTGCTTAGTAAAAGAGCATGGCCTGGCCCAGAACAGGTGCCATAGTAAACACTCAGTGACTTGGATGACGTTACACACATTCTCTTGTTAGACTGATTGGAGGCTCTGTGCCTGCTTCATGGCATTCCAGCAAAAGCAGATGCAAATCAAGCGGCAAGTTTGTCACATTTCACTTGCCGGCTGCAAGCAAGGCCGGAAAGTGCTCACACAACACACTCTGTCTTCCAGGACTTTTGTTGATACAGCCTACATCACCATCTCTGGCAAGAGCGGAAACCACCAAAAAAGGACTGTGTTGTCCTCAGTATTCGTTTAACAACTGCCAGTCTCTCTTCCCCAAAGCTCAAAGCATATTGACATTGGCACAAAGAATTCATCTGTCTCTCCTGATGACCCAGCTCTCCAGCAGGCCAGGCCTGGCCGTGCCAGCTCGCTTGCCACTTTGGTGGTAGTCGGTACATAGATGTGAAGAAAACCCAGCAATTTCATGCTGAAATAGCACATATGACTAAAGAAATGTCCACAGAATAGTAAAAAAAGCAAATTCTCTTGTAGACATGAATATATGCACATATGTGTATATACACACGCACATTTACGTATCTACACAGACATGGTGTACATGTGTATCTATTTTTAAGATAGGGAAGCAGGAGAGAAGGTCTGGGAAAAGTATGGAAGGGAGATGCGTCAAGACTTCAAACGTCCTATATAATCTTGACCTAATGCATAATTTTTATAGAAAGGTTGGGAAAATATATCACATATAATCTTGGCTTAATTAATTATTTTTATAGGAAAAAAATAATTCTCAGTCTCAGTCCTTCAGTCTGTAGTCCTCCCCAGCTACGCTCAAACCAAACTCAATACCATTAATGGCCTGAACACCCGGGTGCTAAATCTTAAGAACATAAACATAGATTACTTCCAAAATAGTTTAAGTGACGATTAAAGACTACATTTTTGAGCTTTAATCTGTGACCTTAATTTAGAATGTTTTTTCTTTAAACCAATATAATAACTATAAATTCTTTCTTGGTAAATACTAATAAAGTTTTAGTGTCTATTTTCATCCACGCGTTGAATTTCTAATTCATTTATGAAATACACATTGGAAGAGAGAAAGTATGAAAAGGAAAATTTTAATCAATTGTCCACCCCAATTTCATTTCTATGTTTTTCTAAAATTTCTAGGAATTTGATTTGAGAACAAGGCTCCAAATTCGCTATCTCTAATTACTAGGTGTGTGGCCCTGGAAAGTGACTTCATATCACTAAACCTCTGTTCTCTCATCTTTAAAATGGGTTAAGAACAGTACCTACTGCGGAGTTCTTAGTATGTTAAGTGAAATAAACATCTCCTCCTAGCACTTACCATGTCATAAGCATTCATCAAGACACATACGTGGATGTTGGATCAGATAGGGATACACATTTAAAAAACTGTTTTCAGGCTCATGTAATTATCCACTTGGGATCTTACATTAGCATTTTAACAGAATTTGCTTCCAAGAATTAAAGGGGAATGGTTTAAAAGGTTGTATCTGCTTGTTACGCTAATTAAAGGAGGAAAAAAAACCCAAGAGAATAGGGTCAACATACCATCTCTTCCTTTGTATTTGTTTTCATTTGTTCTGTCTGACTGCAATCCAGTGCCATCTGGAGCCTAAACATAGAAAACAGGCCATTTAGTCATCTCCAACTCACAACCAGAGAAAATGGTACTGTAAATAATTCTGTTACTAATCTTTAGAGTATAGGAAATGTACTCAGAATTATAACAATCGCTGTGGAAGAAAGCACTATGGCTGTAATCAACAAGCAATCAGCCAACAGATATTTGATTACCCACAACTGGTAAGACGCAATACTAAGGCTGGTGGGGAACGTGTTAAAAAAAAAAAAAAAGTCATGAGTGCCCCTGCCATCAAGAATGCCACTATTTAGTTGAGGAAAAAAGACAAACATGTTACAAAATTAGTACTCTCTGTTTTCTAATGCGTGAATAAGCAAAACGTGGTCTATCCATACAATGCAATATTATTCAGCTGTAAAAAGCAATGGAATACTGATACCTACTGATACATCAAGAGTAAACCTTGAAAACATTACACTAAGTGAAAGGAACCAGTCACAAAGAGCCACAGACTGCAGGATTCCATTCATAGGAAATGTCCAGAACAGGCAAGCCATAGAAACACAAAGACTCAGAGTTGCCTAAGAGTGTGGAAGGGAATGCGGGAGTGACCGCCAGTGGGTGCAGGCTTTCTCCTGGGGATGACGAAAATGTGCCAGAATTGATTATGGTGATGGTTACGTGACTGTGAATATAATAAAAACCATTAAATTGCACACTTTTAAATAGGTGAATTGCATGATCTTTGAAGGATGTCTCAATAACACTGTTATAAAACAAAATTACAAGCTGACATGTTAGTAATAAAATAGAAATTCTTCCAATTAAAAAAAAAGCACAAGGAATAAATGTGAGATTAGGTCAAAACTAAATTACCAAGCTGGCAGTAAGAGTTAGCTTAAACTGCTCAAAAGAACTTCTGTTTTCAAGGGGCTGGGGCAGTGACACCTAAAGAAGGTAGCATTTCACGGGATTATAGACTGCCCACCAGTGAGCGTGGCCAGACAGTCCGTCCTCCTTTCAAGAATCAGGAAGGGAGTGTGGATCAACCACACACAGAGGTCTCTGCTGGGGTGGTGGCTCACACCTGTAATCCCAGCACTCTGGGAGGCCATAGCAGGTGGATTGCTTGAGCTCAGGAGTTCGCGACCAGCCTGAGCAACAGTGAGACCCTCTCTCTGCTAACAGTAGAAACAGCAGCTAGGTGTTGTAGCCGGTGCCTGTAGTCCCAGCAACTTGGGAGGATGAGGAAGAGGAATGCTCAAACCCAGGAATTTGAGGTTTCTGTGAGCTGTGACTCCATGGTACTCTATGCAGGGTGGCAGAGTGAGATTCTCTCTCAAAAAAAAAAAAAAAAAAAAGAGGCCTATTTGAAGAAATTATTTTTAAAATAATTCTTCTAGATTTCATCTCTATAGACAGTGGCCTTTATAGTCTCACGACAGGGCTCACCTCAAACTATTACCCAAGGACTCCTCCTCCCCCTACAGTCTGAGAAGAGTCTAGAAGGGAAGTAGGGCGGGTGTGTCCTGGCCAGGAGTAGGCGACTTAGAAAGTGGCAGTACCCAGGACAGCGTTCAGTGACTACCAAATCTCAGAAGTGGTAGGTGGGTGCCCGGCCCACTCGGATGCCCTGCAGGACAGAGCAGAACCCTTCTGCTACACTTCACCCACGAGCCTGCAGAGGGCTGGCCTTCCAGGGCACAGCGAGCAGAGGGAGTGATTCTAATCTTACAAAAGAACACATATTTTGGAGCATGTGGTTGGAACTGTTTTCCTTAGCAATTGAAGATGGCAGGGCAGATGGTATTCATTTCTGTATTATATTTCCTAGTGTCAGCAAGGGCTTCATGAGGAAGCATTTAAAATGGAAGAGCCGAGCACACACTTACTCGAAAACAGAAGACCTGCCAGTGGCGACGGCTGGCCCGAGTTTGCACGAGGGACGGGGATGCAAAGCAAATGGTGGCAGTATCTCCGTGAGAGGCGCGCAGTGTGAGCACGGAACATGATTTCAAGTTACTTGTGCCGCTTCTCACAATGACTCCATCAGATGATACAAGCCTCCAATCACCTTGGACTCAAACCATGTGCTTTAGACATTACCAGAAATTTGCTGGAAAATATTGCCTCTAGCAGTGAGTAGCAACATTCTCTTGGAAGCTGGCAGGAATCTCACTATAGACATATATTTTGCTTAAGCTCAGTTCTCTGCCATCTCCCCTTTTTTACATCCTCTTAACTCTCTTAGGGAAGGTGCTTTAATTGGGAATAAAAAAAGGCCACAACACTATATGTATTTCCTTACCATTCACTTTTCTGTGGCCGGAAACCTAGTCCAACACTAGTGGATGTTCCAAGTAACCGCTGGGGAGTAAGCAAGCTTTTAACTTAATCAAGTGCCTGGAGCAATCTAGTGACCCCCAGCACTCCTGTAAAATGGACTGGACTTGATCCACAATTGGCCATGCAAATAGAACAGCAATCTGCAGTTTAAAAGGCTGTCCTGGATGAAGGAAATGTCTACAAAAAAGGAAAAAGAAAAACCAGCGGCAAACCATATACCCTCTACGTGGCAGGATGGTACCTTAGATAAAAGCCCTGCTGTTCCACTTTGTAAAATAAAGCATCATGAAATTTTCGTTACCCCATATTTGAGGCATAAATAGAATCTGATATTCAGACACCTTCACATCGAAATCATGTATGGAATGCAAATATAGCAGGTTAGAGACGAGGTAAAGCACGCATTTCGGAGTCAGACAAATTTGGGTTTACTATCCAAATACAGGACACTGAGTAAGTTACTTCAAATCAGTGAGCCTCACAGCCCCAGAGTGGCAATGATAATACCTCCCTCACAGGACAGCTGCAAGGATTAAGTGAGATAAAGCATGTAAAGCAGTTAGCACTGGCAGGTTCAAAGGGGCAGCAATTGTTACTGTTACTATCGTCACTGCAGTCCTTGTTCAAGAGTGCCCTCATTTATTCCCATTCCAGTGATACCACCAGGTCTTCTGGGCCAGAGCCAGTAAATCAAGGTTGTCCCCAAAACACTATTTAGGTCAGCTGGGGTTTTTTTTTTTTTTTTTGTAGTCATACTTTCTTGATGAAAGAGAATGATAATTTACATTCAGTACAAGCTCCTTCTGTCTTTATGCATGAGGAGTAATAAGTCATCTACCAACTGGCTTTTTTTTTTCAAGTAGCAAAGATTTTCTAAGCCATAGAGGTATAGTAGTTTTACCATGCCTTCCTGATCTCTTTTCATTCAGCGGCCCCACAGATGACTTCAACAGCTTCTACTAATAAATTAATCATCTGGACAAATATTTACGCAATCGTCGATGTGCTAGTCACCACACTAAGCACTACAGACAAAGGGGAAGTTACTTCACGGCTCAGGGTCCCTACTTTGTAATTCAGCTGCAATTAGCTCCCTCACACTCTACTTCCATCCATCCCCGAGTCAGCCAATGGAAAATAAAATACTCCTACCAGGGTTAATAGGCAAGGAAGGGTACCCTACCTCCTACTTTTGTATAAGTGACAACTTGCCTGAGAAGCCGTTTTTGTCACCCCTAATGGTGACAGAGTCACTTCTCATGCTTCAAGGACACCTTCTTCCCCTAATGTGAGGATTATCACACTGAATTGTAAGCTGTTTAATCTTGTGCCCCATCAGTACAACTTCCAGAAGAGCAAAGATCAAGCTCCTCTTGAAACCGCCAGCATGGAGTTTTGGCGTCTGCCATGTAAGAGGGCCTCATTAAGCTTTTAATGATTTGAATGAAACTGGATTGGTCCAGCTGATGCTAAGCGATTATTCCTTTGCGTTGATACCAAAAAATAAATAAATAAGTAAATAAGAAAATAAAAGAAAACTTACTTCGTCTTTTGACTCTCTCTGTTGAGCAAATATGTCTCTGACATCAGGAATCTGGTGCTGTTTGTTTTTTTTCCTGAAGGTCTGGGAGACTGTCTCTACCCGCTTCTGAACAGCTGCTGCCTGGGTCCGGGTCAGTGTTGCTAAAAAGACCATGCTTTCCTGGGGATCGCCGGCAGATTCTCCGAAGAGATTGGACAAACCAGCCTCTTTAAGCCACTCTTCTTCCAATTCCCCCTCTAAGACAGCAGAGAAAAATGGTATTTAAATCACAAACTGTACAGAATTTTGCATTTTGGAAGCTGTTAAAAACTTCTTGAGGCACCTCTTCTATTAAAACCAACCCACAGTGCTAAGAATCATTATCCGAAACTTGGATAACTGCCATACACTCTGGCCACAATGATATCAAATTTTAGATCGATTTCATAGATACTCAATTAAAATTTTTAAATGGCTTCACATGTAATTAACTTCTCTAACTTCCCTGCAGATTAACTCAGAGGATGATACTGTTCCCCTTGCAGAGACACGAAAGCAATGAGAAGATAACATTCTTCCACCGACTTACAGAAGGAAGTCAGAGCGAGAATCATACATTAAAGCCCCGTTTCTTGGCCTGAATTCAGCTGTATCTTGGAGGCCAGCACTAATCTATTGAAAGCCTGGCTTTTTCTGTTCACAGTAGCTGACAGGGAGTGGGGCAAAGATGTAAAGAACATCGAAACATTGGGAACTAATCAATTTCAAATTAATTTTTCTAATCTCCCAAGTCAGCACATCAGATTATGTCTTTTTTTTTTTACAAATAAAAAAAAAAAAAGCACACTATCTTCAGTGGGAAAAAAGTTTATACAGGAACATAATTAATAGCTGAGTCAACTCAAAATGCTGAAAGTAGGAAATATACATTTATGTAAATATTATATAAGATATAATGAAAATTAAAGAACAAGAGGAGGATAACTGGACTGGATTCACTCCAGGCACCAAGTAGATGGAGGGAAACAAAAGGGCAATGACCTTGGACACGAAAGACGTGGATCTCGTTTTGGTACCTTGACAACCACAGCACTTTGGATAAGTAACTTCACCTCAAGTCCACTCTGTTTTCTCATCTTTAAATTAAAGAACTATCCCAGCTATGTCATCACCAAACGTCAGGGAAGAACTTTACAAAGCCCCAGAACAGCCTGTGTCACACGGCACACTGACCGACCTGCCCGCCTGTCCTTCCACATGTGTCCACAGACGAACTCAAGGACAGAAACCAAGCATTGATCATTTTAGCTTCAAGAAACATAATCCTGGGTGGCGCCTGTGGCTCAGTGAGTAGGGCGCTGGCCCCATATACTGAGGGTGGCAGGTTCTAACCTGGCCCCGGCTAAACTGCAACAAAAAATAGCCAGGCTTTGTGGCCAGTGCCTGTCATCCCAGCTGCTCAGAAGGCTAAGGCAAGAGAATCACCTAAGCCCAAGAGCTAGAGGTTGCTGTGAGCTGTGACACCCCAGCACTCTACCAAGGGGGACAAAATGAGACTCTGTCTCTAAAAAAAAAGAAAGAAAGAAACATGATCCAGTGCTAGGCACTCCACATGACAGAAAACGAAAACTGTTTACTAACATAAAAGTAAGTCAGCTGTTATTATGAATGCTATTAGGGTAGAACTCTAAAATCAAATTGCCAGAATAAAGCTGATATTGCCACAACAAGGAAAAAAAGCAAGATTACTACATAGAGTCACTTGTTCCACTGAAAAGTAGCGAGAAAAACTCAAGCAATTTAAAGTCGAAGAAAAGGTGTGGGCAGGTGGAACACTCCCAATCTTCTTGATGATCACTTGTGCATAATAATTATAAATCTAATTTAACTCTGGAGAATTATCAGACAGCTAATGACACCCAGGCTTGCATGCCGCTTTTGCTAGCATTTTCTCCTTTTACTCGGCAGACGACTGCAATGCTTCTATCTTGAAACACTGAGAGAGAGGCTGAGAGAAGCTATTAATTATCACAAATAAGCTTCACTTTCCTGGTAACACATTTGGTAACAACTGAGAGAAACATGAATCAGAAACCAAAGAAGGAGTTGTTTTCTTTTATAAATGTAAGACATAAAATAAATTAGGAAAAACTTCCAATTTTTCCTTTACCATTATCATTGGTAGATTTTTCCAGCAACATGTAGCAAAGGAGAAAAATCTATTCATGCCGTTTCTGCTACTTAACTTGATCCTAAGGCATTTAGTTAAAAAGTCAGTCTGTTGAAAAGGCTGTCTCTATTAATGGATGACAAGATACTGAAAATGGCTCTTACGTTTTGCCATTTATATATTAACTTAGACATAAAGCATACTTCTAAATTTACAGGTGGCACTAGGTATAGAAAGAAAGCTAATATAAGAGATGCCAGAATGGGCATCAAAAACTTGGTGACTGATTGATCTGAGAGATTAAAAGAGAATGCTAAAAAAAATTTTTTTTTAATTTTTTAAAGTGAAATTTTATATGTTCCTTCCAGAATATCAGAGATAGTAGTGGAAAGTATAGGAAATAATGGCCGGAAAGAGACTTGATGGAAACGATGGATTAAATAAGCAAATATGGAAGCAAATATGGAAGTTCAAAACGCTAACACCATCATGCCCCGCCCAAAGCTACGTGCTCAGAAGAGTTGGCTAAGCACGTGGCATTCACGGCATTTAATCTGCAGTGACCAAACTTTGAATGATAAAATCTGAGGACACAACAGGTTTGAAAATCATCCACAAGAATTATCAGTTTATCTTGGAAAGGAACAAGATAACTATTCTCAAATACTTGAAAAGATGTCATGTAAAATAGGAGAGTCTTAGTCTGTTCTTCCCAAAGGCAGAATTACAGCAAGTGCATCAAAGTTAAAGGACAGTAGATTGTAAATCAATAAAGATGAAAACAACTCAAGCTGACTGACCACTGGGAAAATAGGACCACTGCAAAGTAGCGTGCTTGCCCTTACCAACTGCACTTACTAGAGACCAAATGACCGTGTGGCTAACGTACTACAGAAGGAATTGAAAGGGATATTAGATGATTTCAAAGATAAAGTCGAACCCTAAGCGTCTATGAGATAGAGTGACTTTAGCCAACAAGATTCCGACAATATCCAGAACTAAGTGAATTTATTCATGCCACTGATATCTGGCAGCTGCATCCATAAAACCTGCCACAAATAAGTAATTTTCCAGTCAAAGGCAACTAGCAATATCTTTTCTTGCTTGTGCTATCTTGAATATTTGGGGTTCTCCCCATCCATTTGTTTCTCATAAACATAAATAAAAATAACAAAAGTTCATTTAATTATTACCATCAGGCTCTTTGACAACAACCACCTCTTGCTCTTGTCTGTTTTCACTAGATTTCTCGATGTTTTCTAGTTCGGTCCAATAGTCTTCCATAGATTCTTCATCCAAAGAATCCTGGGAACTCGAGCGATCAAACGGAGGCTTCTCTGAGACTTTGGTGCTGCATTGCTGGTTCATTGTATACTGGCCATGTCTCCGACTACAAGTTCAAAAAAAAAACACCACAAGTTTATTTTAATACATGAAGAAGTCGTATAATTTCTGAAATACCATAGCACTGAACTAGAGAATTGTAAACTCCTTACGTTCTCCTTAATAAAACTAAAGAGATACTTTAAAACTCTTTACCTTACAGAGCTACTGATTATAATACCAGACAGGCATGTAGAGGGTAGTTTCATGCTCTCCAGAAAAGAACAAATAGCAACATGGTAAATTATTTTTCCTATTTTCATTACACTTGTATGATTTAAAGACTGAAACTTTCTTTTTAGAAAGCAACCGTTTTAATGTTGACCACTACTAATTAAATATGGAATGAACTTTATACCATACTTTTTATTGATCATGTTTGTAAACAGTCCACTTCAGTGCATCTATGTAAAATCTACTCTTTCATCTACTATATAAAGTATCTACCGCCAATCAAGTAGTATTTGAATTTCCATATTATTTTTGGACCTGAAATATAAATAGAAGGATGATTTGTCCAGGTTGCTGTGAAGCTCTACCATAGACAACGACTTCTAATCTTTACTTAGAAAGTTTTCATGACTTATTATGCATTAATAATTTTAAAATATGGTAAAAATGCAATTTTTGGCCATTATAAATAGCTTAGAATTACCTTAAACACTTATCTTTCAGGTATTATCAAGGAAAAGAATAAATAAGAGGATTTTTATCATTTCAAGTAAACTATATTTTTTCATTACAATTCACACTTCACCTGCTTCTAAAATTGAATTAAAGAGCTTACAGTAAAAACCCACATATAATAGAAATAGTAAATATCTCTTTTTATTATTATTTACAGATAGAGGGGGAAAAAATCACACCTAATTACTTGAGAGGGGAAATTTTTCAGCTATGGTGACTTTTCTTTATATACAATTTGGGTGGGGACAACAGCTGGTGAATAAGTGTTTTGATATTCTAACCTCAAATTATTCTTTTATCTTCTGCTAAGGACTTCTAGGAAGTGATACTTTGTTTGCTAGACTGGTTTCATTTACTGTACTTATTGAAAATATAAATACTATCAAATAAAGATCTTTAATAGTGTGCAAATATTTTCATTTATGCTGGCCTTTCCCATAATTACTTAAAATAGTAGGATTTTAATACTTCATCAGGGAGACGGTCACTAAACTCTGAACAACTTTCTATGCAGCTGTTTAATCTGTTAGAAGTCGGACTACTTAACTGCCCATCACTGCAAATCAATGTAGTATAATTGAGTGCTTAGTTACCAGGTGCTAATAGGCCAGTTTTATTCCTTTAAAGGTAGTTCTGCCTTGATTCTGCACTTTATTGCTGTTGGTTGTATGACTGAATAAACAATCACTATAATCTATCCCCAGGAGCAACCTTGGGGTGGTGGGGGGTGGGTTTCAGGACAAGGGCCAACAGTCCAGACATGTTTGTGAACTTCTTTCCTCAAGTCTCCATTGTTCATTGTTTGCCTCCTCTATCCCTTAATTCAAGGGGTCCTTCCTCCCTCCCTGGCCCCAATCATCCTGTTTACGTCTCTGTATCTCATTCAGATCCCATTGTCTGGTCCCAGCGATCATGAGACAGCCAGTATTTTCATTGTAGCATTTTTCTCTCCTGGTTCTTAAAATATAAATGAGAAAGTTATCCTGCTCTTAAAAATGAAAAACATATATTTTTAAATTTCTGGGATCAGCAGCTCAACTTATCTATAGAGTTCATATTTCTTAATCCTGCCTTACCAGAACAGCTAAAGCTAATTTATAGATGGCTGCCAGGCTCATATTTTTTGTTTATTTCAAGTCATATATAGAGATGTCCTATCCTTGCTTTTCTCTCTCATTATGGTGTAATACGGGCCACCTGATTCCCGTCTCCCACAACTCTTAGCCCCCATGGGAGACAACAATAAGTACTATGAATTATGTGAAGTATAATGACTAATGCCAAATAATTTGGTTTATCTGCTCACGGGAGAGAGGTACAGTTGAACCAGAAGTGCGTTAAGCTTTTCATTCCTGAAGGAATGTGTTTATTCTGGCAAGAATTTTCCAGTAAATTTCCATTAAGATAGCATGTGCAGAAAAATGCAAGGGCATTGAGTAACACCATTGTTACATAAATATACCTTCTATATCAAGCCCTGCTTTCAAAACATGCATAAAGCAAAAATCTAATAGCTTAGTGCTGATGAATTGACTCAATATTTTGACTTTAATAAGATTCAGAAGCTGAATATGTCTGTGATAACTTAAAAATCCTGAATCATGGAAAGGAGGAATTTTCTTTCTGCTTCTTTTTTTTGGGGGGGAGGGTTGAGGGAATCACTGCTATGTGTTATAAGAACACATGAAAACATTTTCATTTTTAAATATTAGGGAATGAGGAGAGGGTGTCTATTCAATCACAGCCCATCCTCCTTTGTCAATCTGCTGTGTATTTTTTATTTTCTTTAAAACTATATTCTTCTAGTACATCAATAGACGTGCTGTATCATTTTTTTTTTTCGTAGCATATACCCTCCTTTTGTACGTTAGACAGGCAATGGCTAAATGTCTGGACCTTAGAACAGTTTTGGTAAGAGGCAAGTTAACTGGTTGCCTCCTGTCCTTATTTAGAAGTGTGTTCTATAGGCTCGGCGCCTATAGCTCAACCGGCTAAGGTGCCAGCCACGTACACCTAAGGTGGCGGGTTCGAATCCCCAGCCCAGACCCACCAAACAACAATGACGGCTGCAACCAAAAAATAGCCGGGCGTTGTGGCGGGTGCCTGTGGTCCCAGCTACTTGGGAGGCAGAGGCAGGAGACTCGCTGGAGCCCAGGAGTTGGAGGTTGCTGTAAGCTGTAATGCCACGGCACTCTACCCAGGGGGACAGCTTGAGGCTCTGTCTCAAAAAAAAGAAGTGTGTTATATGATACCAGGTTCATTCTGCAAATTAGGTTCAAAAATGTACAGCAACAACATCTGCTGGATGCAATGAAGCACAGAGCAGAAATATTTCATATTTCAAAAGATCCAAGCCAACACCTGGTGCTCAAATCAAAGAAATACACAGTTTATCCCACAGGTAACCACCAGTGACCCCACCTGACTCGCTGGCAAGTGACCGTTCCAAGTTCTTTCCTGCTTCCTCTCCCTCCAGAATCCCATATGCTAAATCATCCCAGGGCCACGCTTCAAAACTCCCATTTCTCACCTTGAACAACTAAATGACAGAACTCAAAGAGGCTGCCCATGTTGCTCTATGAAGAATCACCTCCCAGCAGGCTGTGCAAGCTCTGCTCTTTCCAACACACCAGAGTATTGCCATTCTGCCATTTTTTTCATGGACATTGTCACTATCAAATACTCACTTTACAAACTCTCATGAGCCTTCCTGGAATATTTCCTCTTTTTCATCTTGCTATCATGTCCTTCGTGCTATATTTACAAAAATTAGGGCTTTATTTTACTATATTTTCCCTGGTACACACTATCCCACTTTTCTGTGATACTGTTTCCACCTGGCCAGTGAACCTCAAAGGTATCAATATCATTGAGGGTGTTAAGAAGATCTGTCATTTCTTTCGTTATAGCGTCTTAAATTTGTCTGACACTCTTTGTACTTCACAAGGAGGTAGGTGCTGCCATGTATGATACTGAGGTCAACCAGAAGATGGCAACTGATTGAGGATTCATTCAAGTATGGAGTCAGCCAAGTTAGCAAAATAAAATGGAAACATGGAACTGGGAGTCCGAAGTGCCAAATGATTCCAGCTTACTTATTAATAACTATCTTCGTACTTAACTTCTCTACTCACTTTTCCTATCTATAAAGTTGGAAGAATAGCAATAGCTTGCTTGCTTTGTTGTGAGAATTTCTATGGAAGTGCCTCATAGGTAACCATGGAAAGGGCACTGTAGCTGGTATCATTGCTGACGCATGCAAACTGTTCTGCTAACTATATGCAACTGCCTCTCCCATAGTTTAATAAGGTCCAGAAGAATCATTTATCCTCCAGGACAGTTTTCAAACTTCTTTGGTCTCAGGACTCTTTTACATAATGAAAATATTTCAAGGACACCCCCTCCACCAAAGAGCTTTTGCTTATAGAAGTGATATCCATTGATATGTATAGTGTTAGCTATTAAAACCAAAAAAACTGCTAATTGATTTCATAAGAGAATAAATCTTTGACGCTAATTAACATTTTAAAGAAAAAAACTATTGTCCAAATTAAAAAAAAAAAAAAAGTGAGATGAGTAACACTTTTAAATTCTTGAGACTGCCTCGGACATCCAGTGTAAGAGGACACGTCTGGATTCCTGGTCTGCTGTGCACTTGATCTTCGGCAATGTGCAGTGATGTAGTCTCTGGGAAACTCCACTGTACTCCCAGGAGAGAACTAAGTGTGAAGGAGGTATAAACATCTCACTGTTGTCATGAAAACACTTTTGATCTCCTAGTCCCCCAAAACGTCTGGAGACACTCAGGGGTATCTCAGACCACACTTCGAAAACTGCTGCTTTAAGATTTCTCAATAATACCACCTAATGGATCTGAAAACGTGAGTTTCAATTCCACGGTCAATGTTTCAGAAAGTGCTACTGAAAGAAACAGACATGCTTTCCTAGTGACTCTTGACCTACTTCTTGATCTATTTTCATTTTGCAGCCTCTCATAAAAACTGGGATTTATTCCAATGATACAACTATATTGAATTTATACGATAATGACAAAGAGTGAAAACGTCATCCAAAACCCCCTGCCTTCCCAGTATCGTTAATCATTTGCGTGTGCCTATGGTGAAGCAGGGGAGGAAGTTCTTTTTTTTTTTTCTGAGACAGAGCCTCAAGCTGTCCCCCTGGGTAGAGTGCCATGGCATTACAGCTCACAGCAACCTCCAACTCCTGGGCTCAAGCGAGTCTCCTGCCTCCGCCTCCCAAGTAGCTGGGACCACAGGCGCCCACCACAACGCCCGGCTATTTTTTGGTTGCAGCCGTCATTGTTGTTTGGCGGGTCCGGGCTGGGGATTCGAACCCGCCACCTTAGGTGTATGTGGCTGGCGCCTTAGCCGGTTGAGCTATAGGCGCCGAGTCAGGGGAGGAAGTTCTAAGCTCCCCTTTTGGTCAGTGTATTTGAGAGTGTGTCTTTCCCTTAAGGCTCCTCTGGCATCCCTGCCCTCTTCCTAAACCCCCCTCCAGGCAGATTTATTTGTCTGAACTCATATTTATTTATCTGGTCCACTTTCTTGCTTGTGTACCCTACCCTGTCCAGAGCCCCTCTCCAATGCTTCACATCCCGTCTGTCTTCTGACCCTTCCAGACACATTCTTGTGGCCCAAAGTCTGCTTTCCTCAAAGTCCTCTGATCCAACGACCCGTTTATTGTGTTTTCTTGCAAGATCCTTTCTTAAAAGGCTACGCTTTCTTTCCTGTTCCTTATCCTACCTTGATTTTTTGTGTAAGACAAAAAGTGACCGGATTAGGATATACAGTACAAGACAGAAAAATAAAGTTTATTTCTGATTAGTTTTTGTTCTATTTTTAATGTGTAAAACAAAGCGGGGGGGAGCGCTTGAGATCATGACTTGTCTAACAAATGCAATCAGGGTCACCTGGTTTCTTGTACCCTCAAGGAATCCCCAACAATAAATTAAAAAAAAAAAAAAAAGATCATGACTTGTCATCAACCATCATGACTAAGTATATCTTAGAAAAGTCATATTTAGTCAAGCATAACCATCAGACTAGCATTGGGCCTTAAGAGATTTAAACCCATCCTATCATATTCCAGGCAATAAGGTCCCAGGGTCAAGACTTCTGCAAGTCATGGGGCAAAGAGAAAATGACACTGAAATGAACACTTTTGTTTCTTCTTCAAGGGTCAGACTTTGTTACACCAGACAGACCAAAACAAGTAGAATTTAATTTTTTCTCGTCAGATGCTTCAGTCTTTCTGAGTATACATTACATATAGCCAAGCCAAAAAAGTGGTCTTGGTGACATGGTTTATATGTAGCATTTTCTAATGACCATGATACTTAGCAAGGAAAAAATGCATTTGATAATTAAACCATACCTCTCGAAAAGGCATAATAAACCTTTCCCAGTGCATTTTCTGAAGTATGCTTTGCATCATGCTAGGGCATGACTTCAAATGTAACCGTTTTTTTTTCTTTAAAAAAAAAAATTACTTTGTTGTGGGGCCTGGTGCTCTTGCCTGTAATCCTAGCCCTTTGGGAGGTAGAGGTGGGAAGATGACTTGAGCTTAAGAGTTGGAGACCAGCCTGAACAAAACAAGACCCTGTCTCTTCTAAAAGTAGAAAAATTAGCTGGGCATTGTGGCAGGCGCCCATAGTCCCAGCTACTTGGGAGGCTGAGGCCAAGAGGGCCACTTGAGTTCAAGAGTTTGAGGTTGCAGTAAGGTCTGACCTCCAAAGCAACTCTGCCCCAGAGTGAGATTCTGTCTCAAAGAAATAAAACAAAAGCTTGGTTTTGTTGAAATTTAAATTTCTTTTAATGTTTTAAAAATTCACTCTGCTTCTTCATCTATTCTACATGTGGGGGGGGGATTTGTTTCTGACTTATAGATTTTTTTCACTTTCATTTTAGCAATGAGAATAAAGCACGGTGATCGCTACCTTGGTGAGATGGCCGAGCCACAAACACTGTGTAACAAACCCACTGAATTTGAATGACGATGAAGACTTGCAGCTTATGAATGGCCCAAGTCATTTTCCCCCCCTTTGGAAGAGAATGCCTACTATTGTTTAGCTGAAAGCAGTAATTATTAGAAGTGGCTTTGACATTCACAAAGAAAGCACACTCACAATGCCCAAAGGCAGGGAGAAGTTGATTAGAAAGCGATTCCTCCTAGTCCCCTCCCCACACCCTTGCAGTCAGTTGGAACCCAGGCCAAGGATCCCCAATCTCTTCTACCCAACCCAGTTGCTGTAGTTAAGGATGTGCTCATTAATTTTCACATTTCACGGAAAGTCCTTTTACCCTTTTCTTATCTTGCCCTTTTTGTTTTGGGAAAAAAAAAAAATTGATTCACTTCTTTCAGCTTTCTCTTTCTTTAAAAATAAAAGTCACTATGCATCTTGTACAGAGCTCTCTGGTTCTTCACAGAGTCTCCAGCCACTGTTTGGTTGTTTTCACCAACTCCCGACACACAGAGATACACTGAGCAAAGGAACTAACTGATTATCCTCTACTGACACGACGTCACCGAGAAGCCCATCCGTGACACCTTGGAGAGCTTTGAAACCTTGGCTCTGTCCCTTTTACAGTAAAACGGCAAAGCCCATTTACGTGCTGCTTGTTTCGTAATGATGCTGCTTTCACTCCGCTGCGTTGACTTCACTCAAAGACTAGAGACCTGGGCAGCAACCACCGCCGGTCTGACAGATAGAAGGAAAGGAAGGGACCAGACGCAAGGTGGACACGAGGCAGCCGAGGCAAAGTTACAAAAACTCACTTCTGTTTTAGGTCCAGACACAGGGAACACAAGAGTGAGAACTGTGGGCCAGCAGCGGCCACCAGACACAGGCCTTTCTCGTGTCAGAGCTCTGCTTCTGGGCAGAAGTGAGATCCTCTTCATTTCTGAGCTTCCCAAAATCTCTCTCAAGGCCCAACTGTACAAGGAGCCAAAAGGGAACCAGGGGACCTTAACGTCCAGATCCTCTTTAAAGAAGAGGATGATGGGATTTGTAGTGGAACTTTGACGTAAAATCTCAGGATCCTGGAATGCTGGTTCAAAGCACTGCACACTGAATTGTCAAATCCACTTCACTCAGTCATCTGTCACCGTGACTTATATCCACCTGACACTCTGGACCTGCTGTTCTCCCTCCATGACTCTTTTTCTTGTTCTGGCCAGCTGCAGAGCCACCTGGAAATTAAACACCAGTAGCTTCTTTGCATTCTGAGGACGGGCTCTCCAGCTTGATCTGTTTTCCAGCTGTCATTACTCAATTTCATAGCTCGCTACCTTCCTCTGTGGGGGTTGGAATAACCTGGCTTCGACAGCCTCCCCACAGCCCTTACCACATCCTGGACTGCGATGCTCTGCCCATGCTTGGGTCTCTACCATTACACTTTCTGTTCCTTGGGGCAAGAATCCGTGTTTCCTTTTTTACCTCTTGGTATCCCTGGGTTCCAGCAACTGCTCACATAACAGATGTTTATGAGCTGTTCAATTATTAATTATGGAATGACTGCTGCCTCTGAAATAACAACCTTTTAATTTCTAAGGTGTTTTTTATTTACTTGCACGAAACCACAAAGAAATGAGAGACACAGGCATGAAAAGCAGGTGGTAAAGAAATCAGTCATCAGGAAGCCCTCACATTAATACGGTAATTGTTCTATGTCTCCGGGACTCTGCTTTGGGGTGTTTAGTCTAAAAGCAGGTTTCCTAAGGAGTACAGAAACATACGAAAGGAAGGGCTGATTTCATATCAGATTGTACCTAATATTAAATTGCAAACAAGCTTTGGCTCACAGTTTATTAAGCACACATTCCATGGTTCCATTCTGTCACCTCAATCTCTAAAACAAACAAATATTTATTGACTGCCTTACCCTATCTTGGGCATCTTATCAGAGATGTCTGTTCAACTAAGCTCTTCAAACCTTTAGTGTGGGGTAGATGATAAAAGACAGCAAAGCCAGTGATGAGTGGAAATTTCCAGTTCCTCACTCTCACTGAACCAGTGGCCTAGACAACCCTCTAGTACCGGCCTCAAGTCATGACCTCTGTGTTAGCATGGTCCCCAGCATCAGGCCCAGCTGCGGCTCACCACTCCTTTGCCAGGAAGGATTTCATTTCCTCTCTGGCTATTACCGCCACTGCTACCCACTCACGCTCAATCAGCCTCTTCTCCATCACTTCTCCAGATTTAGAACAGCAAAGATGACGTTACCTCCACAGCACTTTGCCATGGTCTGAATGCTTGTGTCCAAATTCCTAATCTGAAATCCTAACTTTCAAAATAACTGTGTAAGTGGTGGGGCCTTTGGGAAAGGGATTAGTGCCCTCAAAAGGAGGCCCCACAACACAACGTTGCCTCTTCCACCATGTGAGGACGCGGCAAAAATTCACCATCTATGAACAAGTGGACCCTCACCAGATGCCAAACCTGCCAGCACCTTGATCTTGGACTTCCCAGCTTTCAGATATGTGAGAAATAAATGTGTTGTTTATAAGCCACCTAGTTTGTGGTTACTTTGTTACAGCAGCACAAACAGCCCAGACAAACTTCAAGGAATCCCCCTCTCTCTCAGCCCTCCTGGGCTTGGTGGGCCTCCTTACTGGCCCCGTAACAAGGCTGTCCTGCTAAGATGGAGCCCAGCTTCCTCAGAGCCATCAACCACCTGCTTCTTGTCTCAGAGTCACATGGCTTCAAAGGTAGCAGTCAGCGTCCAAAAACTTTGTCACCCTTTTATCCATTTATTTCTGTTGCTTTGGGCAAATCAAATTTTTTTCCTTTTCAGTTTCAAAGCAGTACTGTTTTCCTTCTGAGGACTCTAGAAAATTCTCCATATGTTTTCAGAGGTGAAATGAAGAAAGATTCACTAATGAAGACCAAAGTTCTTTCCCCCTCCCTTCACACTCATGACCTTGTCACTCAAAAGCCCCCATTCATGACGACAGTTCACCAAACGGGTACGTTTGCATCTAGGTGCAAATTCACATACAAGACTGAACAATATACTTTAAGATCTGGCATCCAGAAAAGGATTTAATATTAGCCAGGAATTTTTTTTTTTTTTTTTTTTGAGACAGAGCCTCAAGCTTTCCCCTGGGTAGAGTGCCATGGCATTACAGCTCACAGCAACCTCCAACTCCTAGGCTCAAGCGAGTCTCTTGCCTTCGCCTCCCAAGTAGCTGGGACCACAGGCACCCGCCACAACGCCTGGCTATTTTTTGGTTGCAGCCATCATTGTTGTTTGGCGGGTCCGGGCTGGGGATTCGAACCCACCACCTAAGGTGTACGTGGCTGGCGCCTTAGCCGGTTGAGCTATAGGCGCTGAGCCATTAGCCAGGAATTTTATTTTGGGTGATGACTAACCATAGATTTAAAAATTATAATATTCTAATAATCTTCCAGTACATAAAGAAGATTGCTATTCATTCATAATGGCTGCTGTGATACAAGCACTAACAAAATACCTGTTGATAATACAAAATTATGAACAGTGATAGTTTTAAATTTAATGTTAGAATACTACCAAATGTAATAATACTAAATGTAATACTGGTTTTGCTAATTTCCTATTGATACAGGTGGCATCCCAGCCAGCTCAGCCAAGCGGGGCTGAAGGACCCACCGCCTCTGCCTTTGCGGTGTTGGTGCGGTGGCAGTGGGCAGAGGAACCAGCCGGCTGGAACGTAGGCAAGGGCAGGGGGAGCCTCCCTCCCCCATCGAAGGCTTCTGTAGGCAAAGGGACTCGACAACTGCTGGGGAGACACTGGCACCTTGGTATCTCCTTTCCTTTACACTTGTGACTAAATATGGAACCCCCATTTCCTATGCCTGGGTCAATTTCATGTAAGTTTCCTAGGCCTCAGTTCTGTGAATGGACTATGTCCATTCATTAGCACATTCATTCACCTTCCCCCAGCTGAGGAAACTATGCCCATTCATTAATACGTTCATTCACCTTCCCCCAGTGGATGGAACTATGCCCATTCATTAATACGTTCATTCACCTTCCCCCAGTGGATGGAACTGTATCCATTCATTAATACGTTCATTCACCTTCCCCCAGTGGATGGAACTGTATCCATTCATTTCCTGGCCTCAACCCATGCACCTATATATATCGCTAAACAGAGAGAGAATGGAGAGATCTTTTCTCTCCCAACTTGGGTTTTTTCTCCCTACTAGAAACTTTATAGTGTTTTTGTATTCTTTTCTGTAAATAAATTCTGTCTTGCTACTGATCCTGTGGTCCGTCGATTCATTCATCGAATCGCCGAGACCAAGAACCTGAAAGTCTGGTATCACTATGGCAAGTAATACTTTTATACACATATTAACATCAACTTTCCTAGGCCAGGCACAGCAGCTCACACCCATAATCCTAACACTCTGAGAGACCAAGGTGTATAGATTACCTGAGCTCAGGAGTTGGAGACCACCCTGAGCAAGAGTAAGACCCCCATCTCTACAAAAAAAAAAAAAAAATAGAAAAACTAGCCAGGTGTTGTGGTGGGTACTTACAGTGCCAAC